TGACAAATTTCAGAAATTTTGGGATGATATTTGGAGCAGCTCAAAGGAATATAACCCCAAATTCAGAGTGGATCAAACCTGAAGGACAAATGCTAGATAAACCTGTACAAGAGTGGGAAATATAACCACAAATAATATTAGGCAAGCTCTAACGAAATTCCCAAAATGGTGGTCCCTAATTTCTAAATGCATCATCTCTCATCAATCCATAAAACCCTTGCACAAACTCTATCAATGCTTATTAATATTCCCAATCAAATCTCGGAATGGATCACCGAAGGTATTACATATCTCATAACAAAAGCAAGTGTAACAGATGACCCGAAAAATTATAGGCCAATAACATGTCTGTCCACCACGTATAAATTGATCCCGTCTGTCCTAACGAACTTCTACTTACTTCTTTCTTGAAAAAAAAAATCAACATTCTACCACTGGAACAGAAGGAATGCCCGAGAGGATCATATGGTTCCAAAGATCAACTAGTGATAAACAAAATGATCCTGGAAAATTGGATGAGACGATGCAAAATTCCTAGCACAGCATGGATAAATTACCGTAATCTTAGATCATTTTCCAACTTATTCAAGATGATCTTCGCCTTATCTAACGTTCTAACTTTCTCTCCTGGAGCAACATGTTGCCTCAAGTTACACGTATGATTTTATTTTCAAGTCATTTTTCCACTGTTCTTTGGACTGTCATTGCTGAAACTTTTCTATCAGGTGCCAAACCTCTTACGAATTGTGTTGAAATGATGATCCCTCTTCCCGTTGCCAGCTCCTGATCTAGTTATCCTTTCTACTGTTCCATCTTTTAAATTTTTTTTGATATGGTTCTCTTGATGGTTCTTGAATGGACATTAAAAATGGGTGCCAGAGTATGAATGTTGGTACCATTACTGTTGGCCTGAATTATTTTTTTCCTCTAGCTATTGCTCAGTTGAGAAGACAGTAGGGCTGACATAGAATAATTTTAACCTGCCCCATTTTTAGGTGAATAAATCAAAAGATTTTTCAGAGATTTTTACGGCAAATGTTCTCAAGATGGCTAAACGTCTTATCTGAAAACTCGATAATAAGAAACTCAATTAGTTTAGTAAATTTGGAGATATTAAGCATTTTCTGGGATGGATAATTATGCTGTTAATGATTTGGACAATTCTGCTGTTACAGCTGGTATATATATATATATATATATATATATATATATATATATATATATATATATATATATATACACACGCCTCTTTGATTTTCTATTTCACAGATACATTACAATACAGTCGTGAGTTCATATGCAAGCAGACAATTGTATGGGGATTGTGTAATGCCTTATAGGAAACAAGTACCAAGTCGACGCTGCAGTAGTAAAGATCTGTTACCTCCATGGCCACATTTGACAAATATAGTAAAATGTATACATCTACTAAGGGGTGCCAGAAAATTCTCGACTTCACCATTCATCAGAATTTCTTACGAAATGCATTCTTGGTGTCTGTGTGAACATTGACTTATCAACACCCCGTGTGTATATATATCCTCTGACGAGGGGACGAAGCGCTTGCTGGAAGGGCCGTCTGCAAAATTCTAGATTTGGGATGCTGATGCTAACATCAATCAGCTAAGTGACAATTTTATATTTGTATAACCCTATATATATCTATATCTATATATATATATCTCTATATATGTCTATATATATATATATATATATATATATGTGTGTGTGTGTGTAAATTCAAAATTGTCTATATATATATATATATATATGTGTGTGTGTGTGTAAATTCAAAATTGTCTATATATATATATATATATATATATATATATATATATATATATATATATATATATGCAAATGGCTAAATAAGTGACCCAAAGCGCTTGAGACAACAGACAATTTTGATGCTTTTACTCCCCTTACTCCAACCAAATGGAAAAAAATGTAAGAACGCTGAAAAAATGAACTGGATAGAAAAATATTTAACGAAAGATATTTGAAAGTAAGCTTGCTGTCCATGGATATATATATATATATATATATATATATATATATATATATATATATATATATATGAGATGTGGTATACTTATTATTTACAGACTATTGTCCTCATCTTTGTTGACATATTCACGGCGTTTCAGACGTCACAGTATTGGATATCTCACAATCAGTTGTCTCCCTTTTAACTCAACCCTCCAATTTTTTTTTTTTTTTTTGGAACGAGTTTTCTTTGAGGATTAAACACTTTTCTGCACGATACTTGATAAATCCACGATGCAAAATGTTGTCCATTGCCAAAGGAAGTCGCTACTTCTGAAATCTTCTTTGAACAGCCAGCTGCCTGTTTACCTGGAAATAAACAATGCAGTTATTAATAAGCAGAGTCGAAATTAATGCATGCATTATTTCACACCTCTAACACCACTCTTTCAAAATCAGCCAGTGTATGTAACAACATTTGAAAAACTGCTACTTTGATATGATTTGTTGATAAAAGAAATTGGGAAAATGTTCTTTTTCCCTAATGGCGCAGGTTGATCTGTGATGCATGAGAAATTACAAATGGCTTCCAGATTTTCGAGGGAAACATTCTCAAGGTCGGTTATGGACACAGGAATCTACATTGCATGATGTCTTTCACTTACAGCGACTCATTGTAATCTTCAACTTAGGTGTCGTGTCATTGTCTCTGTATATTTCTGAGATAATTATTTACATTATTTAGTGTTCGGACTGTTGGCCTCATCTTTATTGCCATATTCACGACTTTTCGCCCGTTGTACGCTCCGCCCTTGTTCAGGTGAGTGGAATTTCGAACTGAACCCTTTATTTCATCCACCGGTGTAGATTCTCCTAGTTACACGTGCCAAGCTTCTTCAGGATGTCCCAGTTATCTCCATTTAGCTCACCCCCCACTCGGTTTTATTTTCATCAGTGCATTAGCCAGGTATTGAACTCGCAACTCTTTCGATCAAGTCACTGGATCCAACCAACTATTTTATCCACTGGGTCTCACGGACATATAAAAAGTGTCGTGTCACTTCAGCACGTTTATGCGATAATAGCTCTCCTTAACTTCCTGTCCGTTATAGCTCTTAATAAATCATGTCTTTTCAGTATAAATCTCTGCTTTGAGAACATTTTCACATTTTTGTTGCCTATTTTACTTGTTACTCTCCCCTGTTCCACTGATTTTGAAATTCTAAAAGCCATTATTTCACAAATACTTATACAAACATTGTGTGTTAGTATTTGTCTTCTTTCTGATTTTATACATAAGGGGGTCATTTCATTTCAAATATCCTTAAATCTTCGTCGTCGATTACATTTTCAGGCCGTAATATTCTAAGCATTCTTCTGTCGAAATACATTTATATTGACTCAAGTTTCCTTTTTGCTTTGATGAGATTGTCTAGCATTCCCTGCCATATTCGAGGACAGATATTGCAGTTGGCACTCTTTTATTACGCTATTTACATTGTATGCACTGTTATCTTCATCTTTATTGTCCCATTCATAACGTTTCAGCCGTTGTATGCCCAGGTGATATTTGGTTGATTTTCGATCCGAAGACTACTTTGGGATCGGTTCCAAATTCAAACATATATCACCTGAAGAAGGCCGGAGCGTACAACGGCGGAAACGTTCTGAACGTGACAATAAAAATGAGGACAACAGTCCAAACAATGTAAACAGAGTAAATGCTTAAAATCATCTCAGAAATATAAATAGAGTACATGTGTTGTTTCTAACGAGATTTTCCGGTTTTTGAATACTTTGTTTGATTTTTGAAAGCGAAATTTGTAAGATATATACACTAGAAAGTTTAAAAGCAACAAAACATTAGATGTAAGAAAGAGTTGGTCTTAATTAATAATAAGGGAAATATTTATTTTAAGAAATCCGGACCGATATTACAATTCCGCACTCTATTCCTTGTTTTTAATAAAATCAGATGTGCACCGTGACACAGAAAATGTATGCAGTGATTCCCAAGAAAATGAGTTTATCTACGTGTTTTAACTCACTACACAGCGTTGATCTTTAATTTTAAATTCTGTTTCCCGAGTTGGGGAAATTAAAAAGAAAATCTTTTAGTATTTTAGTCTCAAGATTTTTAATGCTATCAACCTTTTAAAAGAAAGACTAAAGTACACATCTTAAAAATGTCGTTTAAATGAATATCGGATTTTTAACTTTTAACCATATTTTATAAATTAAAAAAAAAAACCCGATGTTTTAAAAGTTGGGTAAATTAAAAAAATCTTTTAGTATTTTAGTCTCAAGACTTTTAATGCTATCAACCTTTTAAAAGAAAGATTACATTACACATCTTAAAAATGACGTTTAAATGAATATCGGATTTTTAACTTTTAACCATATTTTATAAATTAAAAAAAAAAACGGTGTTTTAAAAGTTGGGCAAATTAAAAAATATCTTTTAGCATTTTAGTCTCAAGACTTTTAATGCTATCAACCTTTTAAAAGAAAGATTAAAGTAAACATCTTAAAAATGAATATCGGATTTCTAAACTTTTAATCATATTTTATAAATAAAAAAAACGGTGTTTTAAAAATTTCTTCTTCATAATGAATCATGTTAATCGCGTTTTCTAAATATACATTAAAAATCACTAATATTTTGATTAATATATTGTAAAAACAACAAAAATGATGGTTAAGTGGTTAATAGAGAGAATTACAGACAGATTTGGGGCTGATTCTGAATTCTACGCTGGTGGGCATCCATTTTTGCCTGTAACAGTTTCTTGTGACTTCACATTAACGTTTCTTTGAATGAAAATCGTGATTGGATTAAAGAAGCAGCAAAGTAACACATCGAATGACTTAATATTATAAGGCTTGAAGGTGTAATTTGCATGTGATATTTTTTACAAATTTTCTGTCGATAAAAGTGAAGGTCTTTAGAAAAGACGAGGGGAATAAAAGAAAGACGTCATGGAAAGAACGAGGAAGAAGTAAAATCAAAACCCTTAAAAAGAAAAAAAATATTTGCGATGGAATATGATGAATAAATAAGTAATAAAATTAAATGAGTAAGATGGCAAAATGACAAAGAAAGAACTACAAATTAAAAAAACAATGTAGAAAAAGAAAGAAATATACAAGGAACTGAAAGAAAGAAAGAAAGAAAGAAAGAAAGAAAGAAAGAAAGAAAGAAAGAAGCAATAAAATGTATAGGCAGCCAGGAGTAAAAATAAAAAATGATGAAGTGGAAACAAAGGGAAAGAAATAGAAATAATAAGGAAGAAATAAAGAAAAAAAGAAGAAAAAAAATTCTATATAGAAAGACAAGAATAACAAAACGAAAGAAATCCAAGATGAGACGAACATAAGTAGATAGATAGATAGATAGATAGATAGATAGATAGATAGATAGATAGATAGATAGAAAGAAAGAAAGAAAAATAATTGTCCAAGATAAATAGATAGATAGATAAAAGAAAGAAAGAAAGAAAGAAAGAAAGAAAAATAATTGTCCAAGATAGATAAATAGATAGATAGAAAGAAAGAAAGAAAGATAAAGATAGATAGATAGATAGATAGATAGATAGAAAGAAAGAAAGAAAGAAAGAAAGAAAGACAGATAGATAGATAGATAGATAGATAGATAGATAGATAGATGAATAATTGTCCCAGATAGATAGATAGAAAGAAAGAAAGATAATTGTCCCAGATAGAAAGAAAGAAAGAAAGAAAGAAAGAAAGAAAAAAGAAAAAGAAAGAAAGAAAGAAAGATAATTGTCCCAGGTAGAGAAAGAAAGAAAGAAAGATAATTGTCCCAGAAAAGAAAGAAAAGAAAAAGAAAGAAAGAAAGAAAAAGAAAGAAAGAAATATAATTCTCCCAGATAGATAGATAGATAGATAGATAGATAGATAGATAGATAGATAGATAGATAGAAAGAAAAATAATTGTCCAAGATAGATAGATAAATAGATAGATAGATAGAAAGAAAGAAAGAAAGATAATTCTCCCAGATAGATAGATAGATAGAAAGAAAGAAAGAAAGAAAGAAAGAAAGAAAGATAGATAGATAGATAGATAGATAGATAGATAGATAATTGTCCCAGATAGATAGATAGAAAGAAAAAAAGATAATTGTCCCAGAAAGAAAGAAAGAAAGAAAGAAAGAAAGAAAGAAAGAAAGAAAGAAATATAATTCTCCCAGATAGATAGATAGATAGATAGATAGATAGATAGATAGATAGATAGATAGATAGATAGAAAGAAAAATAATTGTCCAAGATAGATAGATAGATAGATAGATAGATAGATAGATAGATAGAAAGAAAGAAAGATAATTGTCCCAGAAAGAAAGAAAGAAAGAAAGAAAGAAAGAAAGAAAGAAAGAAAGAAAGAAAGAAAGAAATATAATTCTCCCAGATAGATAGATAGATAGATAGATAGATAGATAGATAGATAGATAGATAGATAGATAGATAAAGAAATGTGGTTGGAGCAAAAATAGATGGATATGAACAGAACAAGTAAAAATAAGGGCAGATGCGAGTAAAATAATGATGGAAGCGGAAAGGAAGGAAATGAATTAGAAAGATACATAAAGAAACGAATTAAATAAAGACAATAAAAATGAAAGAAAAATGGAACTAGTGACATGACAGTCTATAAAGTAAGATTAAATTAATAATGGAAGAAAACAAGACCAAAATCAAGGCGGAAAATAAAAACAAAAAAACGTTGGGAAGGAAAATAAAGAAAGAAAGGAAAATAAGTGAAAGAAAAGGTGGAATGGACGGAAAAAGATCTATTGTAATGAAAAATAAAAGAAAAAGTTAAATAAAGCGAAAAGGAGGATAAAAGGAATAAAGAAAAGTGAATATGAAGAGAAAAAATATCGTTTTAATATTGAATAAAAAAAGACAAATATAATAAGAGAAGAATGGAATGGCAAGACGAGATATAGAACAAAAAGCGAAATGGAAGACAGTACAAAGCAGAATATATGGATTAGTGTGTTTGCAATGGAAGGGATTATTTATTTTAAAGTGGCAAATACGGAATAATTTATTTTTAAAAAAATGAAAAAATTAAGAAAAATAAGATGGAAAATGCAATATCGATGATTTAAATTATTTTTTTAAAGAAATATAGAAAGAAAGAAAAGAAAGAGAAAAACAAAAATATATTCGTTTCTTCTACATGTGAACGAATTTGAACTCTTCGATTTCGCTCTTTGAACGAATTTAAAAGTCTGAATCTCAAGAAACAGAATCGCAGAAAAAGGTATTTTATACTCTAAAACATTGTTCACAACCCTTTTCAATAAAATCGCAGTAGGAATTCAAAAGCTTCCCTCACGTCAACAGGAGGCCAAAGGAAAAGAGAAAAAAAACGGAAAGATACTATATATATATATATATATAAAATATATTTAATAAAATGCGTAGAGGGAAATAAATTAAATTGAGACATTGAAGTAAATAAATAAATGGAATTAACAATGTGAGATACAAAAATCACGCAAAATCACACGAAAACGCACAAGAATTTCAAAGAAATCAAACAGGTTCAAGATATTGCACTTTTCGTGTAGAAAAAAAAAATCAAAGGCGGCAACTATGGAATTAAGAGAAAAAAATGTGCAAAAGAAACGTACAATCTGAAATTAAAAGTAACGTGATTTTATCGCATGTATCTTAATTTAACTGTGGAACTTCATACAGATTTAGAAGAATATGGTCAAGTGACCAACATCAGTATGGTTTCTCACATACACAAACACACATACTCACAAACACAAAAGCACGCGCACACGCACAGATGCGTGAACGCACACACACATTTTATGAGGTGGGATCAAAATATACATTAAATATTGATCAGGATGAAGTACAAATCGGAAACTTTTATCAATCTAACATGTTTCGTGTTTTATTAAAACTTCATCATAGAATGAGATATGGAGAAAACGAAAAAAGAAATTCTTGTATGTTTATTTTTCTGTTGCTTGATTTCTATTGGTCAATTATGTTTCACGTGAACACGTCTTTTTAAAAATCAACGTTAGTATAATTTCTGTCTTACAAGATTCAAGGGGAGACAACGCATCTATCTACCGTTTAAAAAATGAACAGATTCTAAGCCTACCTGGAAATCCGTAAATATTACTATATGGATGCAAGTCTATAATGATTCTGGTTTGTCTATGTGGAATTCAGATAATAATGTATATTAGTAATTATTTCTCTCTCTCTCTTCTCTCTCTCTCTCTCTCTCTGTTTAGTCGATATTACGTTTGTTGGTTTCTTGTATGTTGATTTGTTTCTATACTCTTATATATTAACTCTAACTCTCCAAATTGGGGTTATGAAAAAATCGAAGGGAAATTAAAATATGGCCAGAAAAAAGGAACCAATAAAACGAAATAATAAATTATTCGTTACATAATAAAAAACAAACAAAAAGGTACTCGTTAACATTAAAAATACGAAAATATGCTAGCAAATATTATACGATTAACAATAAACCTTAATTAGATAGTCCATATTGAAAAATAAAAAAATAAAACATTTAAAAAATTTGAAAGCACTATTAAAAATTTTAAAAAATTATATTTAAAGAGTAATACCGACAATTAAAATATAATAAAAATATATCAATAATTACAAAAAAATTAGTAATTAAAAATGAATAATAAAAATAATTCAAAAATTTAGAAGATGTAAAAAAAATGATATAAAAAATGCAAAGAAAAAAATAAAAATGATTAGAAATGAAGATAAAAATATTAACCGTATACAATTTTAAACATAAGAAATTACTAAGAATACCGACCATACCCAAGATAAAAAAAAATTATATTTTAAAAATGAAAAGGATAAAAAACAAAGGAAAAGGAAGTTCGTAAAGTAGTGGAAGTTTATCAGGTAGGACTGATATGGAGAATGTAAAACTGTAGTAAAAGGTATACCATTAGATAGGTTAGATAAGTAAAGATTAAATAAGATCCAGAATATATTACATAAGATTAAACCTACTCCTTTGACGACATTTGGAGACTAATTCATTCCTTTGATTTAATAGTTTGCGTTGATTATTGAATTTTATAATTCTGATTTCTCTTCTAAACATAGGTCACACCTACTCTTAAGATTATTAAGAGTATGAGAAAAACCTATAATTTTCCAATCTGAGGTTTCAGAACTTTCTACCTCAATTCCCAAACTTTTTGGAAAGAGCTGACTGTTATTTTAAATTTTGGGTCAGAAAAAGAATGCCTATGTTTAAAAAGTCTTTGTTTCCATTTCCCCGCGAAAATTCCAATGTAAACCTTGTGTTTTAAATAAATAGTTGCTTGGTATATTACCTTCGAAGCTCTGCATTTTCCTTCAACTGGACAATTTTCCCTATTTCTACAATTACATTGGGGTTCCATACCAGGTTTATTGCTAGTGACATAGAATTTACTTAGAATGTAGTTAATATGAGAGTTGATAATTTTGTACATGTTATTGGCGTAGGAATAGCTTATTTTGAACGTTTCTTTAAATACTTAATTTTAAATTTCTAACACTGTTGCAGTTCACCATTTGAGTTGAAAAATGCTAGCTAGTTGAAACTGTCTATTCTCGTGAGGTAATTTTGGATTTCTCTATTATGTAATATATATATATATATATATATATATATATATATATATATATATATTTAAAAAATATGATTCCATCGCTACATAGTAATTGACATGTTTTAAAAAAAACAGAAGCTAAAATCTTCCAATTGAATTATATAAATTAAATTAAAATTAAAGTACCTAGTTCTGTTTCATCCTCAAGCGAATTTTGGAATAATTAATTTTAAAATTTACGGAGCTTTATAGGCATATACATTCGAAATATTTGTTTCTATGGAATGAATATGAGGCGATGGAATCATATTTAACAAAAAAATAATTATAATATAGGCTCTACTTGTGCATCGAGCACTGTTTTTTAAAAATAAAAACAAAAATACTAATGTACTTCGGATTATTAACTTAACTGTTCTTTCCTATTTTTCAATATATTTGCACACAAACACACACGCGCGCGCACACACACAGACACACATATGTATTTATTTAGTGGGATTGATGTGAGTTTGTCATCCTGGGTTTCACGATATTTGCGATCATCAGACAAATTGATTAATTTTTAAATTTATTTGTATATGGTTGCGTAGATCGGTGTTTTTATTGTAGTAAGAGGAACATTGTCGTCAGAACGCCACTCATACATACGCATACATATATACATGCATGTTCACGTATTGCAGCTCACACAAACATAAACATGTATGAACAGTGTGGAAATGGGCATATATGCGAATCCATGTGTCGTTGTGTATATACGTACGCATTTGGTCCCTGTATTCAATGTTGGATTGTTTAGCGAACATCTTTCGTCAGTTGCAGTGTCAACGCGCAGAATGTTCGTGTATTTTGTTCGCTGACTAATGTTTTCTCGCACACACATATATACGTATGCACACGTGTTCACACATCTTCTATCCGTCTTTTTTCATGATGAGGACTGTGTAAGGCTGTGGTAGGTAAAATTGCTATTATTTTTAATTTTTATTTTTTTTAGTGCTGTTTTGTTATTATTTAAAGCCGCTTATTTGCTTGTTTTTCGCGATTGCGCTTATGTAAATAGTAGAAACCAATTTACAATATTCATGCGGTGGTGTTAATTTTGCTGGGGAAGTAAGAATAATTGTGGATTGATGCAGTAATGGTAATGGTGGCGCGGTAGTAATTGTGTAATAATGCGGCAATGATAATTGTGATGCGGCAGTAATGGGGGGACAGAAGATGATAAAGACAATTGTAGCAGCAAATAGAGTAAAATGGTAGAAGTGATTGTAGTAATGGAGGTGGAGTGGTAATAACAATAATTATAATTATTATAAAGGTAGTTTGAACTAGAAAATAATTGATGGTATTATGGTCTCCGTGGTTTCTCTTTTTCATGTTCATAGGTCAATGATGGTTTATGCAGTAATGTTGGTATATATATATATATATATATATATATATATATATATATATATATATGTATGCAGTAATGTTGGATATATATATATATATATATATATATATATATATATATATATATATATACGCTCTTTTAATATATTGATCATTCCTCTCCTATACATATCGACAATTTTCAATATATATATATATATATATATATATATATATATATATATATATATATTCGATACATTCCTGCATGTTCTATTACTAAAAGTTTGTGTTTTAAACAATTTTTAGCTATTGTTATTAATTATTATTGCACACGCATTGACCGATCTTTATACCCAGAGAAATCGTATACAAATGTCTTCTACATCTAAATTCATCCTGTTATCTCAAAGAACTTATCGCTTAATCATTCGCAATTCTCCAAAGGATTGTACCTTACAAATACAACAAACCTGCCATTCCTTATCATAGGATGTCTTTATTTTCCTATATTTAGCAAATTATTATCACTACTCCTGTGTTAATTTTACATTAATGACACGTTTATAATGTAATTAATGCAAATATGGAGTAGGAATTATTTTTGAATTTTACATAAGATAACAGTGCTTTTGACGATGTGAACAAA